GTGAACTTTGTATCAGTGTAGTATTATTACTACTACAACTACTGCAACTATCACCACCACCACCACCACCACCACTACTACTACTACTACTACTATTACTACTACTACTACTGCTACTACTACTACTACTAATAATAATAATAATAATAATAATAACATCAAATGCGTTTAAAACGTTTAAGTGTATCATTTAAGCTAATGATTTCACCGAAAACGCTCAACAAATATCGATATATGAAAATTTCAAATGAATCCAGTGCCTACTGAATGTTCATCTTATAGCCGGATCGCACGAATGTTAGGTGTGAAAATGTGTGTGTGTGTGTGTGTGTGTATGTGTGTGTACAATTTGTATTTGTTCGTTTGTATATGTTTGTGTTTTCGTATGTTCGTATATATATGTACGTGTGTTTATATGTGTATATGAACATTCGGAGGTTGTTGTGAGTGGTGAAGCAACTATTACTTCCACTTCTGCTACTATTGATACTACGTGTATGTGAGTGTGTGTGTTTGTGTGTGTGTTTGTGTGTGTGTGTTTGTGTGTGTGTGTGTTTGTGTGAATGTGAAGTTTTGTGGCTTTCACAATTGTCTGCATGACTTCATTGCATTTCAGTAGTAACACAAGCGCTCACAAAATCCGACTCACCGTAGTTCTTTCTCTTTCTCTCTCTCTCTCTCTCTCTCTTTTTCTCTCTCTCTCTTTCTCTCTTTTTCTGTGTGTGTGTGTGTTGTGTGTGTGTGGTAAAACGTTTGTGGGAACTTATTTCACATAATGGTAGAAGAATTATGAGTCATTTTTGTTCATTCATCCGCTCAACTAATTGATCATTCAATCGTTCAGTTATTTTGTTGTTTAATTACTTATTCATAAACTAATTAATTAACTAACTCATTCACTCATTAACTCATTTTTTCATTCTTGTCGTTCATTTGTTCGATTATTCGTACTTTCATTCATTCATTCATCCATTCATTCATTCACTCATTCATTCATTCACTCATTCATTCATTCATTCATCCATTCATTCATTCATTTATTCATTCATCCATCCATTCATTCATTCATTCATTCATTCATTCATTCATTCATTCATTCATCCATTCATTCATTCATTCATTCATTCATTCATTCACTCGTTCATTCATTCATTCATTCATTCACTCATTCACTCACTCCTGCTTTCATTCATAAAACTCACAACGACACCCATTCATAAAATCTTCACCAACGTAATAGAGTGCCGGCAATAATGCAGACATTAATAATAAAAGAAATAATAATAAGAAAAAATTAAAATAATAATAATAAAATACAATAGTAAAATAATAATAATAACAAAATAATAATAATAATAATAGTAATAACTTCTACCATTTATACTAGAGTTCAGACCGCAGTAAGAGAATGATAAGCGACATAATGGTAGTATAATAGTAAAAAGTAATAAGAAGTATTAACATCAATAGCATAGTGTCTGGACAGGCTTGCATCTGATTACAACCGCAGAATTTAATAAATTTAATAAATTTAATAAAAGTAAAATTGTTTTCAAATTAAGAATTAAAATATTCTACGAAGCTCGACATCCTAAAGTAGAATGCGTACAAGAAGAAAGGATTAGTTCTAAATGATGCATTAATAATAATAATAATAATATTAATAATAATAAGGATTATTATTTTTATTAATATAGCAAAGATACCCGTACACGTGTATACGCATACATGCACGCACATAGATGTACATACACATACTTGCGTGCCTACAGACAGACGCATACGAACATTTACACACCCACACATACACATACACACACGCACACATACACAGATATACACACATGTGCTAATATTAGTAATTTAGATATTTCATTTAGAAAAAAAATTTTTAAAAAATTATCTCACTCATTTTAAGTTTTTCTGGCTTTTTTTCTCTACCAAACAATTCAGATTTTTAAAAAAATAACCAAATTAAATCAAAAACTTTCAAATATATTCAACAATACAAATTCAAACAAATAAAACAGATTTTAATTTAAATATATCTATAAAAATAAAGTTATAATGCTAGCGACAAAATGATGTTATTAATTATTAATAGATCGTACTGCCTTGAAAAATCTCCTCTCTCTATATATAGGGAAGTTTTGAGATACATATATACATACACATATACATATACACATACACACATATACATACACATATATACATACACACATATACATATACATATTTACACACATAAATACATACATATATACATATATACACATGCATATATAAATACATATGTGTGTGTATACATCGTCACACATACAAATTTATATACACACAAACACACTGACAAACACGCCACACACACATACATACTCACACACTCACACACACACATATATATAACAACTATATGTGTGTGTATAGATCTATTTATACATAGATCTATTTATATTTTTTTTTGTTGTAATTCATACATTCAGCAAAATGTTTTATCAGT